GAAAAAAATAAAAAAAGACAGTTCATAGTTATAAAGTTTGTACACTCCTCCAGCTATCATACTGCACTTTGAAGCTATTAACTGAAGTAGCACCAACCACACTTTCAGGTAAACTATTCCAGGTGTTGAATATGCGGTTGGGAAGAAACCACTGTCGGACTGTTGTTTTAAATGGCTCCTTATGCAGTTTGAAGCTGTGTCCGCGTAGATTGCTGCGCGACAGACGGTATAGATGCATGAGGTTGGTGCCCATCAAACCATGAAGCATCCTGAACGTAACTATAAGATCGCCACGAAGTCTTCGCTCAGAGAATGAGGTCAGGTTGAATAATTCAAGGCGATCTTCATAGCTTGGTCTTCGTGCTCCAAAAGGGATACGAGTAGCCCGACGCTGTACTGATTCGACGAGATTTCTATCGCGCAGAAGCACAGTGTCCCATACCGGGCCAGCGAATTCAAGAATTATCCTCACGAATGCCTTGTAAATGTAGGCGCAAATGTTGACATCGGATCCTTTGAAAGACCTCTCCAGCATGTATAGAAGTTTCTTGGCTTTTGATGTAACGTGGTGAATATGCTCTGACCAGGAAAGACGATCGTTGACTACAACGCCCAGATCAGTGTGGCTGGAAACTGCTTCGATGTTGTGGTCAGAGATCTTGTATGTAAATCGCGGATTTGTCTTCCCGAGGTGAAGGACACAACACTTAGTTAGATTTAAGGGTAAAAGCCAACTGACTGACCATTGACAAACAATATCAAGATCTCGTTGAAGTATAGCAGAATTTACGACAGTATTGTAAATCTTGGAGTCGTCGGCATAAGCTGAACATGTGGATGAAATCAATGCGGGCAGGTCACTTGTATACAGAAGGAACAGCACTGGCCCCAAGACAGAGCCTTGAGGAACTCCACTTGCTACATGATGAAGGTGAGACTGGCTATCACTGACGCGCATAGAGAAAGTCCTCCCGGTGAGAAAAGCCTTAATCCACAGTAACAACTCGCCTCTTATTCCCATACATTCCAACTTAAACAGAAGCCTTCTATGTGGTACGCGATCGAAAACCCTAGAAAAATCGAAGTGGATTATATCAACAGGAGTCTTTGTGTCCAGATACTGAGTCCAGTCGTTGAGAGAGTGGAGAAGGTTGGTCATTATTGATCGACCAGGGAGAAATCCATGCTGATTCTTAGGGATAAGGTCATTTTCGAAAGCAAATGACAGGAGCTTATCTAATATGATTCTTTCAGCTATTTTGGCGGCGATAGGAACGAGACTTACTGGTCGATAATTTTTAGCGGAGGATTTGTCGCCCTTTTTGAATACAGGGGTAACAGAAGCACTAAGCCAGCATGAGGGTAGGGTATGAGATCTAAAAGACGATGTGAATATCAAGCTTAATGGTAGAGAAAGTGCTGAAGCGCAGTTTTTAAGTACAGCAGCCGTCATTCCATCTTTACCAGGGGAAGATATGTTTTCTTTTTAAATTGTAGGAAATTTCAGGCTGATAAAACATGATATAACTCAAAAGCAAGCACAATTTGATGCAAATAGATGTTTGTGACATAACCTCAAAATAGAGTTCTGACACGGAGAAGTAGAAAACTATGACAATCAAGGAGGCCATAAAGGCGCCCTACAATTGTAGGGACGACTGACGATACGGGCCTTTTAATGCAGATGGCTACCGGCGGAAAACATCATTTATACGGGGTGTCCCAATATCCCGCGAAGTAAACTCAAAATAAATCGATTGGACAGGCACATTTTTTCAAATGAGAAAAAATGTGTTTCGGAGCTGTTTTCTAAAAAATGTTATTACATCAAGTGTCAAAATCTAGTAGGCATCTAGTTGGCTCTGATTGCAAGAAGAGACATGGTTTTTATGCTCCACCTCGCTTTGCTCGTACTGTAAGAAAATATTTGAAAGAGAAATTTGATGGTATATGGATTGGTAGAGGTCGACAAGCTCCTATTAACAACAAAGTTATACGAGATTCAGATAGACAACGCCAATCAACTATGGGACCGGATTCAAAATGCTGCAGATAGATTAAAGAATAATGACATCTTACAGAAAGTTAACTGTACCAAGTGACAAAAAAAAATTTCAAAAAGTCAAATATAAGAACGACTAGTAAAACATATCTGTACCAAATATTCAAATCGGACTATCAGTTCTTGAAATATTTAAAAAAATGTATTTTAAACGAAAAACTTTGACGCCCTCTAAGGGACAGACGAAGCCCTTTTGCATAGAGGGAGAGGTATCTCAGAATCTCGTGAGCTGTGGCCTTGAGTGCGCCGAATGCAGAAACAATACGCTGGAAACGCTACTACATTAGGTAACAACATTATCGGTTTTTCTATCTATTCTGCTCTTGGACGTCGAACAGGTAACATCAGCGTAACATAGGCGTTCTTATAATTTTTTCAGAAGTATTATTTTTATCTTAAAAACTACAACCCAGTCTTTTTCAAGGCAACCAGTAGATCTGGCTGGCAAAATGTCAGTTACTATAAATTAGCAGATAAAACATTGCATAGAAAATTATTTTTCCAAAATAGGGAACGAAATAACAAGAAAGTTGTTCATAGCCAAGGAAGACAAATTATAATTCAATGTGTTTGAATATATGAAGCGAGAAAAGGAAACAGAAGAATTAACCAGACCTCTTAGCCGTTTATTTGAGTAGCTGAAGGTGTATCCATAAATACTGTGAAGCGTGTTGTTAAAGAAAATCACTCCAAACCACCGAATACAAAATTTGCTTCTCATCGAAAAACCAAAAACAAATCTAGCCCACAGTCCTCAGTGGATCAATTTGATGAAGAAACTATTAGAAATGTTAGATACAAGTTCGTGCATATCCATAAAAGGAGACCTACAATGAAGGCGGTGTACGATGCTGTTATCAACGATGGTGTAACGATGGAAGGCTGACGTCATTCTGGAAAATAGTACGCAAATTGGGCTTCCCTTGGAAAATAACAGGAAGGTACTGATTGAAAAGCCGGAGATCATAGCGAAACAGACAGAATACTTGGAAAGACTGAAAGAGTACAAAGGTCTAGGTGTATAGATATATTTCAAACGACTTGAGAATACAAAATTTATGATGTTTTTCAGTATAAGAGAACTTGTTTTTATCTTTTAACCATAGAAAAACTTTTGTAGGCAGAAATAATATCGTTTACATACATAGCTCACACACAGTAGCGAAAGCAGGGGATGATGGAACAGATAGTTGCTTAAAAGCACCACTTGTAAAAGGCAAGTGTTTAATTATTGCACATGGAAACAAGCATTAGATCGCGTTACTCCAGAAACATGGAGAAACGTTTGCGACCATGCATCAAGAGTGGAGGAAGAATACCTAAGTCGGGAATATACATGGTCCGGCAATGAAACGGGAAGATTTGGGGTGGGGATTGCAGCGGGCGGTGAAGTGGTAGGGAGGACAGTCACAGACCTGTCGGGACCCGAGTGGCTTGCCATTTAGTCTACAATGGAGCGTTGGACGGGTGAGCATCGCGGTTACGCAATTAAGGCTTATTACCAAAATGGCGAGAGTTTAGTGCAAACGCGTCGAGATTTTAGACGGCATTTTAACATACCGCGTAACCAACCGGTTCCGTCAGACCATGCGATTCGAATGTGGCTAAACAACCTCGAGCAAACTGGATCGACGCCTAGAGAAAGAGGTGGTAGTGCCAGGACGATTCGAACCCCTGAAAATATTGAACGTGTTCGACAAGCCATTTTAAGAAGTCCACGTCGATCAGCCATCCGTCACGCCACACGCCTTCGATTAAGTGACAGATCGGTGAGAAGGATTCTCCATCAAGATCTTCGATATCACCCGTATAAAATACAGGTTGTTCAATCTCTTCACCCGGATGATTATCAACAGCGTCTCAGATTTTGTGAGGTTATGCTTGCAAGGCTGGAAGAAATTGATGACCAGGTTAACAACTTGTGGATGAGCGATGAGGCACATTTTCACCTCTCCGGTTTTGTTAACAGACAAAATTTTAGATACTGGGCGGAGGCTAACCCTCGTATGCTTCATGAATCACCTCTTCATGCTCAGAAAGTGACAGTATGGTGTGCAACGTCTGCAAATGGAATCATCGGTCCGTATTTTTTTGAGGATGAGGCTGAAAATGCCGTTACCGTTAATTCTGAGAGATACGTTTCAATGATTCGGAACTTCCTCACACCTAAACTCTACCGCTTTCCAGTTAATGAACACACACTTTTTCAACAAGACGGTGCAACAAGCCACACTGCAAGAATTTCGATGAATGCGGTGAATGCTTTGTTCCCAGGGCGTGTCGTTTCTCGAAACGGGGATATTGCTTGGCCCCCTCGGTCTCCCGACCTTACTGTCTGCGACTCCTTTTTATGGGGTTATCTGAAAATGAAAGTGTTTGAAACTGATCCACCCAGGACAATCCCGGCCCTCAAACAACGAATTCGTGACGAGATTGCAGCAATATCTGTTGATATGCTGCGAAGAGTTATGCAGAGCTTCCAGGCTCGACTCCATGAATGCATACGTGTCAACGGAGGCCATTTGACAGATGTAATTTTCAAAAAATAATGTTTTTTAACATTGTATATCAAATGGCTACTCTTTTATTTCCCAGTATGGTATTACTAATTACAAAAAAAAGATTTTTTCGATAATAAAATTATTTACGAAATCTTCCCGTTTCATTGCCGAACCCTGTATAATGGATAACGTCCAGGAATTTATTATGAGAATAGGCCATGACAGCGATGAATCTGACCTACAGCTGTCATCAGATAGTAGCAGTGAAGATGATGATTTAGGATGCCAACCACTTAGCATTGCGACTTCTATCTCAGTCTAACTAAAACGGATGTTCAAGTATATATTTTCGAACAGATTGTGTATTAGCCGGCTTTTATCAGTCACTTGTCGTAATGGTTAATCCACTTTGTCAACTTTTAAGGATGTCAAAAAAACTGACAGTTCATATAATCACAAAATAAGCAGAGTAGTTATGTTTGTTTTTTAACTCTCTTTTCTAGACGATATTTATTACTATGCTTAGAGAATTAGGAAATTTCCGTCATCATGAAATTACACACAAACATGGTATACGTTGGATGCACGCGTTCAACTCCATACCATTGAATAAACCCTATAACTACGCCGCTATACAGACATACACGTTGTAGACCCGCTGCTGGTGCTCCCCAATGTTTTTAGGACTGCATCTGAACGAGAGAGATAGGGGAATATCCCTACTCTGTGTCCACCTACCTCCCCTCTTGCGCATCGTGTGGCTCACGAGAAAGCGTACTAGCTAAATCATTTTGATTCTGAAAATACGTGGTACTTCTTCACGGAATATTTGGACACCACGTATATCATAATACCATTTTGTTCCAAACCATTTTGTACGAAAGATTCCTTTGTTTGCTCTTCACCTAGCTTCTGAAGGCACAATGGCTCAAAAGGGGAAGACATAGATATGTTTTGTTCTTCAAGCCATTTATGGCACCGTCTGTGAAGAGACCAGGCAGAGAAAAATCGTCATTAGGCCCAAGTGCCGAAAAAGTTGGACAGAATTATTTTAGACAAACTAGATTCTCCACGGTATACCCAGTTCGTGCGAATATCTCGTCATGATGAACAAGAAAAGTGATATGCTGAAAAATTCGCACAAAAAATATTTTACACAGCCTCAAGATTTTATTTACTGATTTTATAGGCGACTGTTTACTTGGTGGAGTAAACATACGTAACAAAGCAATCAAAGTTAGTTTGGACAGCACGAACGGCAAATTTGGATATAAACGAGCAAGGTTTATGAAGATTTTGAACTGTTAACTGATTCTGCATCGCCATGTTAACTTCTATGGCAAAAAATGTAATAAGATAACAACTATACATGCAGCTTTCGTCCGACCGACCACAGACGGCCAACCGTGGACAGCTGTTTTGTACGTCTTGTGACTCATCGAAATGGTCTATTCTTGGTCTCTGGGACAACGAACGAAAGCATAGCAAACTATCCTCTAAACGAGGTACAATATCTATAGAAATAAGGCAGCGTATGAAAAATTCTGTTTGCAATAATGCTCAATTTGAAGTTGGGAGCTTTTGCGATTCCAGTGATCGGAACAAAAAATTATCGATTTTCAACTGGGTAAGTTTTAATGTTAGTAACTAGTGCATTGAATGCTTCAAAACCGTTACCGAAGGTCGGACTGGTTCGATACATGTACGATCAGCTCAAATAAATGAAACCTAATTGACAGTGAAGAAATAGAGTGCGAAATATCGATAATCCCTAATGGAACATCCACCATTTACGCCATCACCCAGTATGAAATTTTATCCCTTTACACATTCAAACTTGAACGCTAGAATGGTTCAGAGAAAACACATTCAAGTTTCTCGTTTCTTTTTTCCGCCACCGTGATGTATAATATAAAAAAGAATATTGTATAGTTCGTTCAGATTTTTTATACAACATTTAGAGGTCGCTCAAGTAGAATTTGAATTTTTATTTTTTCTTATAAAACCAAAAATATTAAACTGCAGATTTTGTTTGTTTTTTATGACTTTTTATAAGCCATTGTCATATTAGGCCAAAGAATACAGTTTCACCCACTTAATATTGTAAAAACTATGAAAATTGATACATGCACCGATTTTCTAGTATTACATTGCCCCAGTTAAAACGTCTCTACTCTAAAACATTAGCATTTATAAAAGTCTCTAGGTAGTTTTGAATGAAAGTCATAGCGTTATCAGAGTCGTGAGTACCTCAAATCCATGAGAGCTAATTTACTCATTTTGTAGTATTTTTTTAATACGTAAGTTCGCTCAGGTAAGGTCGAAAAACATTTATAATACGTAAAAATAACAGTTTTGAATCGTATTAAAGTTTTTTTGTAGCACATGATTTTTCTTTGAGTCAAAGAAAAAATTACAATGAGCATTACACGTATTTTTTTAATGTAATACTTTTTAAACGTTCAATAAATATTCCCAAAAAATAGCAAATGGTTTATAATTATGCGCTTCATTATTAATGATATATCAAACGTGTATCGTTAATATATTATAAATAAATAAAAATCAATTAATGAATGAAATAAAAAATGAGGAAATTACCTCTGAGGGATTTGATACTTTGCGATTCTCAAATCGCTATAGCTTTGGTTACAACAAATATAGTATACAAAACACCTGTCTCGATGTTATGTTGACCGAAATTAAGCTAGAATTAACGTGCACTCCACTTTTTTAGAAAAATAAAGTAAGCTTATCTTAGCCTAAATGAAAGGGCACCGTGGCTGCTATAAGGATCTCAAAGAAACTTTGTTAATCCGATTTTTTAACTGCCTAAGGTTATTAGAAGAGGGAAAAACCTCGGCTTGTAGATTGTTCCACAATTTCGACACCCTAGGGAAAAAGGAGCGGTCGTATCGTCCAGTTCTGTATGTACGAAGTTCGACACGGTTAGGATGTGAGGCGGAAGTCAGGCGGTTCTGTCTGGTAGCCATATCGCGTGGCCCGAGACTGTCTGTTAGAGAAGAGTTATCAATCAGTCTGGCATCCATCCTCTGAATAGCATCGAGCATGGGTAAAGTAGTCGAGGCAGCATAAACTTTCAAATGATACATTTTAAATAAAATGCCAGCTTGGGAACTCATGTGGTACTAAAAAATCGGTATACTTACCAATTTGTCATATTGTTCATACTATCAATATGACAAAGACTTATTGAAGGTCATCCAAAAAGAAACAAACCCATAGTTTAGAAAAAATGCTTATCCATTTCCAAACAATTTCCTACTGCAGTTTGATATTCTTAGCCTTCTGAAGAAAAACCAAAAATGCCAATCCGACTTAAGTGACCTATAGTTATTTGAGAAATCTAAAAAAAACTCATAGAATGTTCTCCCATGTTATAGAATACGGTGCCGGAAGAAGAGCGATAAACTAACTAAAAAAAAATGTTTTTGTGAACGACCCTATTCATCATGGCAACACAAATGGCAGATCCGCTGAATTACCAAAGTTGCAGGTTTAAATTCCACCAGAAACAATTTATTCTACCGTTTCCCACATTGCCAAGCATTTATTTGAATAATAGGTGTATAATAAACCGGTAACTTACATGAAATCTTCCATATCACCCATCTCTACGAACTGACAAGTATTGTAACAGCCGTTGGCATAGTAACTGTAGCAGTTTCCATAGTCGTAATCCGAAGTTTGACAAGGAACTCCTAGCTTGGCCAATAAACTGTTAGGCCTTACACGCGTTTTCTCACTGTCGCAAGACGCATTTGAGTGTATCGAGTCTGAATTGTAAAAACACCCGTCTTGATACATATTAGGATGTTCAATACTTGGAACAGAGTTCATCGGAAGTACACTACCACAGTTCATATCACTTCTGTAAGAAATGCTATTTTCGATGCTTGGGGATATATTCATCAAGTTCACATCACTACAGGAATTGTAACTCTGTCCATTTTGAAAGGAGATGGCGGTCTCTATGTTTATTTGCTTTTCAGAAGGAAAGTTTATAACATTTTCAAGGAAATCAGTTTCGTAACGCATAGCGAGAGAAAGTTTCCACTGAAAAACTATTCAGATTACTTATGAGTATACCTTACTAGTTTAGTTTAAAAAATTTATTTGCACTATGGTAGTAGTAGTAGTAGTAAAAAAATAGCTAAGAACGTGTCGGCTAGTATGAGGGTCTTCTTTAAACAACGGACAAGCTTATTCAATAAATGTTGTCAAAAGTTCCTTAAAATTATTGATATTCATTAATTAGCTTTTACCTAAGAGGGATGCCTTTTAAGTTTTGCTTATAGAAACATAGTAGGCCGCGCGGATCGAACGTCAGTACTGAATCTTAACCTCACTCTTTAGTAAACTTAATTTCAAAGTTTCACAACAATACCTGCAGTGTGCGCCATAACTTATTACAACTTTCAGAGACAATTATCGCAACAAGAATGCCGTGCTGAGCTACTGTCTGTTTAAGGCAACGAAGCGCCACATCATTCGACAATTTCCCGTTGGTATGAAGAATTCATACGTGGGTGAGTCTTAGCGACGATCCCAGGGTGGGTGCACCAAAAACGGCAGTCACCCAGGAAAACGTCGATGCTGTGCGCAAACTCATCATTGAAGATAGCATGTGACGTATCGCGAGATTGAGGCGTCCTTGAAGATCTCAAAGACCTCAATTCAAAAAAATTTACATGAAAAATTAGGAGTAAAAAATTAGTTTCTCGTTGAATACCCCACCTGTTGACTGAAGATCAGAAAGCAGCCAGGGTTAATTGGTGTCAAAAAACGCTTGACTGTTTCAATTCCGGAAACTCAAAAAATGTGTACAGCATTGTTAGTAGTGCTGAATCGTGGATTTACTGTTATGAACCAGAAAATAAACGACAGTTGGCTGTTTGGGTGTTCCAAGGTGAAGAAAAGCCAACAAAAGTCATCCGTCCTCGAATTGTTTCGAAAAGGATGGTCGCGACATTTGTGTCAAAAGCGGGTCATATTGCAACAATTCCTCTGAATGAGCAAAGAACTGTTACTGCGGATTGGTATACCACCATTTGTTTGCCAAAACTCATCACCGAGTTTCGAAAAATCAACCACGAAAGCAGAATCATCCTCCACCAAGACAATGCAAGCTCGCACACAGCCCAAAAAACAAGGCAGTATTTAACGGAAGAAAACGTGAAACTATTGGACCATCTTCCATATAGTCCCGATCTAAGTCCCAACGATTCCTTTAATTTCCCGAAAATTAAAAACAGACTGCGTGGTCAAAGGTTCCAGTCACCAGAAGAAGCAGTTGACGCATTCAAAAATGCCGTTTTGGATCTGCCAGCAAACGAGTGGAATAAGTGCTTCGAAAATTGGTTCGAGCGCATGCAGATGTCTATTAATCTTCGTGGAGAATACTTCGAAAAACAATAAAGTCATTTAAAACTACCTACCGTGTAGTTTTATATATATGCAAAACTTAAAAGACATCCCTCGTATTATGTTTTATTATAATGTACTGATATACGAATAGCCCAATATGGGTATATATACACCGATATACAGGGTGTTTCAGAACTATGGGATCAAACTTCTAGAGATTATTCAGTCTAAAAGTTGAAAACATTTTGAGTATAGGGACCCATATCCGGCGCTTGTGTGTTGTTATCTTTGAAAACGATAACCTAGATTGTTTTTTGTAGCTGCATTCCATATCGCCTTAGTCGTGCTATCGTATTTGTGAAGTTTGGAAAAATTTAACAAAAATTAATTGTTGCTAATGGAAAACTTTACCAATCAAGAATTGGCGGATATACATTTGGCATCCGGAGCAACAAGCTGCAATGCACGAGCAGCAGCGCGGTTGTATCAAGAACGTTATCCCGAACGACACCATGCGGGATTTAAAAAGTTTATTGATATTCATCGGCGGCTCTCCAAGACAGGCATGTTTAAAACCAACATGCATGATACTGGCGTTGCTCGATCCGTAAGAACGGTCGAATTTGAAGAAGAGGTCCTTCAGCGAGTTGCCGACGAACCATCAAGTAGCACACGTCACATTGCTGAGGACATGAATACGAGTAACGCTTCCGCCTGGCGGGTGCTACACGAGCAACAACTTTATCCTTACCACTTCCAGAAAGTTCAAGTATTGACTGCAGCCAATTATCATCCTAGAGTTCAATTTTGTAAATGGCTTCTTCATTAAATCGTTGCTCAACCAAATTTTTTACGCTATGTTTTATGGACCGATGAAGCCTTTTTCACAAGAGACGGTATTTTTAATAGTAGGAATGGGCACGTTTGGGACAAAGAAAATCCCCATGCAATTTTTCCTAGAAAACATCAGCAACGTTGGTCTGTCAACGTATGGGCAGGCATTGTTGGTGATTATTATATTGGGCCATACCTTCTACCGAACCTATTTACCGGAGTTTCTTGGAAGTTCTTCCAGAACTTCTTGAAAATGTTCCATTGAACGTTCGACAGCATAGGTGGTTTCAGCATGATGGAGCGCCGGCTCACTTTGCTGTACAAGTACGTGAGTGTTTGGCTCAGCAGAGGTGGAGCAGCTTCTTGGCCTCCTAGGTCACCCGATTTAACGTCGATTTTTTCCTGTTGGGACATGTAAAGTCTTTGGTTTACGAAACTCCAGTAGATACAGAGACGAATTACAGCAGCATTTGAAATAATTCAAAACGAGTATCAAATTTTTAGTCCGCCGTAATCATGTGCGACGTTTAAATCGGTGTATTCAGGTTGGAGAAAGACATTTTGAACAATGTTCTGATGATATCATGTACAAAAGGCAAAAATTAAATACATTAAATCCTATTTAGGCAATTCATCGTCTTTCCAAATTTTAACGCGTCTTAGGGCCGTAGTACCGTAGTGACACTTTTCCGGATATGGGTCCCTATACTCAAATGTTTTCTACTGTTGTACTGAATAACCCCTAGAAGTTTGATCCCATAGTTCTGAAACACCCTGTAGACCCAACAATACAAATCACAAAGTAAAAAATTATTAAACTCGGAAAACATAATACATGAATATTTGTTTTTATTTTGTCAGTCTGTTGATTGGGAAATACTTCCTCACAGCGCTATTTTTTGGATTTTCAACAAAAATATTAAGCTTACTCGCGTTGAAACAATTTAAGATGCGACACACATTGCAGAAAGTCCTTAAAGAAAAAATAAAACCGGTTTCAACATCCAGTAGATATTTTTGAATGTGACAGGACACAAAGTTTCAGTGTTTTTCTTATTTCGCAAATACCAACACACATGTACCAAAGTACATCAGTATCATCCAATCATAAGTATCGACAAGAATCATGTATCGGTCAATTTCGTACTGATTTTTACAGCAGTCCTTGAATTAACCAACAATTGTGCTATTTTCGTCAGTCTGATGCCACTTGTCATAATATGATACCGCTTCTGACAATCTGAAAAGTATTAAATATTCGACAATTTGAACTGCTGAGTGAGTGTTTTATCTTCAATAATAACGTACACTCGCTTAGTTCAAGCAAAAAAACAATAACTATTATTTCTTCAAAAATATTGTCGATACTGCAATGCTGCCACGACGTTTAAAGTGTATGCCAAGGCATGCAGTTATCAAGTGTACATGTTGACAAAACAAGTTCTCATCATTTTTTCCATATCACGATGAGCTCTGCTGCTCAAATAAAATGAAACCAAGACTATTGTTTCCCTGCTTGAAGTGACCTCGCAAAACAGATCATGTATTATATACAATCATTGTAGAGTACCACGCGTCTACTACGAATAATATCACTGGTCCATTTCTGATGTTCGAACACATTAAACACTACCTATCACGTCACTTCACCTTTCAACGTATCAAAACTCACTCCGAAACTAACTACAAATTGCTCGTTGCAGCATGTCACACTAAATACGTTCTGTGAAAACGATGACAAAAATTAGTATGAATACAACGACAATTTTAAGTTAGCAACATTTCAATTGCCGTCTACCGCTCACCTTATCTAATCTTGGAGAATTCATTTTAATATGCTCTCAAGTTGCATCAATTGTGATTTCATGTATGGTATTTTTTCGAGAAAAATCGTTACATAATTGAATATACCTACTAATACAATTAGATCATAGTACAGGTGTTCCTTTTGTAAGTTGTTAACTTTGGCCCAGTCATTACACAAATATGTAGTTTGCGAGATCCAGGGAATTCAATCCTGATACACAAAAAAAATCGGATAATACACAATGAAAGATGATGATCCGAAGTTTCTGAAACCGATGAACAAAATGGAGATCGGAATTACTAATGCTAATATTAGACAACTATCGAAATGTTTGCAAAGTCGTGGGGTTAATGGATTCATCTACATACATTTCGTATATTTTTCTTCAAAGTGTCGTTTTACAATTAACCACCTGCTCAAATAAAGCAACGGCCTCCAAATCGTCCAGAAATAGTGCGCGTTAAGCGTCTTACGGCCACAGAAATTAAAGTTTTTTTGTCACTTGAAAATATTTGATGAATTCATCGTAATTTTACGAAATTCAATTTATATCGTTTAGTCTAATCATATTAGCAAATTTCCCCGAAATAATTGTAAAGTCTGGGGGGTCAAGGGGGTATTTAAAACATGGACACATAAAATGGGTACATCAATTATTGTGGAAAAACTTTTTATTCGACAATAAAGAATGTGAAACAGCGTTTTTTGGGATTCAATCGAAAGTGATGGCAGGAACCTAAAGACTCTTTAAATAAGATTCTTAGGTATTTATGAGACCTACAGAATGAGATCACATGTAAAAAGATCCGACTAACAGTAACAAAGTTCTGGCCGAAAACCGAGGCAAAATGCAGGTTTTTGGCACTTGCTGTTAATGCGACGGTAATTTCACACAGCTACTTGAAATTCTTCAAATCTCTAGGCTTCATACTTCTAAGTAACCACAACAAAATTGGAGTCGATTGGTCAAGTAGTCTTTGAGAATTTATAATTGTTTATCCCAAAATACCTGTCTTCCGGCCGTCACTACTAGTTTACTGAGCAATACACAGGGTTCGTTTAAAGGGCATTTTATAGCAAAATGCACGAGTTTTCCTTGCCGACATGAATCACAAACCATTACGAAAGATAATTGTTGTTTTTATGCGAAAAAAGAAGGCATACCTTTTTTCTTCTAAACAAATTCAAACATTTCGTATTTGTGAGTAATTGAACAGATTCGCTACGATATTCGAACGACATAGGTTATTATACACATTTTGAAACAAAGCGGATGTGTCCATCACCTTTTCTTGCGAAGAAACAATTTTTTTTTTCAAGATTTCTTCATACTCTTGTGTATACTTAATTAGAGCTGAAATTCTTACACGATCACAGATGAGCCCTTAAAATTACAAAAATAAATATTTGATACCTAAACGCGCTGAACTGTTTATAAAGTTATGATGCAAAATGAAGACAATTATGTTTCAAACTGTCTTAGACTAGTTAGTATGTAGCATTTGCTGAATGGCTGTATTATTGATGACTGCATGACTTTGTCAAATAAATAGGTCACGTAACCCAGTTTCTTTACGAAGAAATATAATTCCCTGGACCTTTCTTCTAAAAGTTTTAGTATAGTGTACGTCTGTTTTCGAAATCTCGTACGATTAGAACGACTGCGAGTTCAAAATATTGGAAAATAAACTCGAGAAAACGAAAAAACAGTAGACAAGTATCAATCAATTGTAGCGAGCTGAGCGTCTTCAAATTTAGGCAAAATGCTCGGTATTAGTCCCTTATACATTATTTAAAGTTTCAGCATTGTATCGTGTATAGTTTTTTAGTATTCTAATTGTGTATGCCTTCAACGTTCGCTTGACATTTGTCAGTGTCAAGTGTAGTGGTATAAAGATCCAGTAAACCAAGAGGCGTCATAGCGTAATGGGAGAAAACGGCGATTTCTGAACCGCAGGACGGAAGGTCAAATCCACAAAGCTCCTTTTTTGATATTATTTTTTTATATTTGGAGAAATAAATGTTTTTTTACATTATGTGTACTTTTATAGCGATCAAACAGTTTTTCGCACACCATAGACAATGTAAGTTTGCAAACAGGAAACCAGTGGTATACGTGTGACAGTTTATAATTTTTTTTATATCACTCTGATGAAATTTCAGAAACACTATGTCGGATCATAGCTGATAATTTTTGAAAACATATATCTTAGATGTAAATTATTAACCAACCATAATAAAATCCGAAATTCATAAATATAAACTATGCAAAAAATATCTATGCTGTTGATGAAATGAGCATCTACGCTTAACAGTTACTTGATAAATACAAAAACTGTGGGTTAGCTCACCTAATTTTATAAGCACCCTCCGCGGCTCCAAGAGGTACTATACCTAATTTGATGGCGTATCGAAAACTTGGGCGTATTATCATAAACAAAATTTCGGATGTATTTCATTATTGTTGGTTAATAATTTACACATCCAATATATGTTTTCAGAAATTATCTGCTATTATCCGACATAGTGCTTCTGAAGTTTCATCAAAGTACGAGTATTATAAAAAAAATGTATACCGCTGGTTTCCTGTTTGCAAGCTTACGATGGATGTCTTTTAAGTTTTGCATATGGAAAGAAAACAACACGGTAGGTAGTTTTAAATGACTGTATTGTTTTTCGAAGTATTCTCCACGAATATTAATACAAATCTGCATGCGCTCGAACCAATGTTTGAAGCACTTACTCCACTCGTTTGCTGGCAGATCCAAAACGGCATTTTTGAATGCGTCAACTGCTTCTTCTGGTGACTGGAACCTTTGACCACGCAGTCTGTTTTTAATTTTCGGGAAAGTAAAGAAATCGTTAGGACTTAGATCGGGACTATATGGAGGATGGTCCAATAATTCCACGTTTTCTTCCGTTAAATACTGCCTTGTTTTTTGGGCTGTGTGCCAGCTTGCATTGTCTTGGTGGAGGATGATTCTTCTTTCGGGGTTGATTTTTCGAAGCTCGGTGAAGACTTTTGGCAAATGGTGATATACCAATCCCCAGTAACAGTTCTTTGCACGAAATACTTCGAAAACGGATGACTTTTGTTGGCTTTTTTTCACCTTGGAACACCTAAACAGCCGACTGTAGTTTATTTTCTGGTTCATAACAGTAAATCCACGATTCATCACCACTAACAATGCTGTACACATTTTTTGAGTTTCCGGAATTGAAACGGTCAAGCGTTTATTGACACCAATTAACCCTGGCTGCATTCTGCTCTTCAGTCAACAGGTGGGGTATCCAACGAGAAACGAATTTTCTTACTCCTAATTCTTCATGTAAATTTTTTTGAATTGAGGTCTTTGAGATCTTCAAGGACGCCTCAATCTCGCGATATGTCACATGTCCATACCAACGGGAAATTGTCGACTGATGTGGCGCTTCGTTGCCGAAAACAGACAGTAACTCAGCAAGGCATTCTTGTTGCGATAATTGTCTCTGAAAGTTGTAATAAATTATGGCGCGAAAATGTTCTTGGTTGAGTTCCATTTTTCTAATGACTTGGTGACACTTAAAAATTCACTGTAGTGAGAACACTGCACGTATTGTTGTGAAACTTTGAATTTAAGTTTACTAAAGAGTGGGGTTAAGATTCAGTACTGACGTTCGATCCGCGCGGTCTACTATGTTTTATTATATACTAAGTGACATATAAATCCGAACACCCAGTTTAAATCGTTTTATTTTAATAAAATTTTGTATAAGTACTTAATGAAGCATAATAAGTAAATGATAAAAATTTCAAAATGATTGCACTGCTTTAAAGCCCTTTGACCTTTAATAATGTGTGGATGCACCCTGATGTGCTACGCATTCTCCAACGCGCCTAGGCATGCTTCTGATCAGGTGGTCAATGTCCTCCTGTGGTATCTCATTCCAGGCAACCACCAACTCCTGTCGAAGTGGTTCTAGAGTCTGAGGAGGACGTTGCAAATTGAGGAATCTCCTACCCATCATATCCCACACGTGCTCAATTGGGGATAAGTTGGGAGATCTTGGTGGCCATGGTAACAATGTGACATCATTATGTTGAAAGAAGTCTATTGTGACTCTTGCAACACATGGTCGGGCATTATCTTGTTGGAAAGTTGGATCTGCCAGGGTGTCAAGATAGGGTTAAAGATGGGGTTCTAGAACTCCGTGGATATAACGCTGCGCGTTCAAGTTACCTCTGATGAAGATTAAAGGTGACCTGGAACCATAAGCTATAGCACCCCAAACCATAACTCCAACAGTGTGATGAACATGTCTTTCAACAAAAAACTGTGGATTCCTCCGTTCACCACGTCGCCTTCTAACCCTGGCACGGCCATCGTGCATGCCTAAACAAAATCGAGACTCGTCACTAAAGACAATACTGTTCCATTCCTGATCCCAGAGTGACCCTTGTCTGCACCACTCAAGGCGATTACGTCGGTATTCTCGAGTTAAAGGGAGGACCCAGTGTGGCCTGTATGAAAACAAGCCAAAACTTCTCATTCGTCGGTAAACACTTCGCATGCCAATAGGTCTTCCGTGTCCTGCAAACCATTCATTTGCAATGGACCTGGTAGTGGAGAAACGGTCCCTTAAGGCCAATAATCTTAGGCGGCGATCTTCACGGTCTGTTGTTCTACGGCGGCGTCCAGTGCCCCTTGCTCTTTGCGTACGGCCTTCTCGAAGCCATGCCTGACAACACCTAACCACAGTGTCTATCTACACTTCTTTGCACTCTAACTGCAATTGCCCGAAAAGAAAGTCCAGCTTCCCGAAGACCCACTATACGGCCCCTATCAAACTCACTAAGTTGACGAAATCGTACAGGTCTCCGTACTCTAGGCATCGTAACCGATCGTAAAGGATGTCAAGAACCAAAATTCCCCAACGTTGATCCTTTACTGCGGCTGAAATATTCATTTTTAGAGCGTTAGTGAATTGAAAAAAAGCAGTATAAAA